CTGTTCTTATTAGTGTTCAGATGTTAGTGAAATCATTGATCTGGACTGTTTGCTTAGGTCTACCACGAGACTAAGATCGAAGGATCTCTTGTGTGCTGATTGTGTTTCCTTTTTTTTTGGTTGCAGCTCAAATCGTTGGGCTTCTCATACGACTGGGACCGTGAAATTTCTACAACAGAGCCGGACTATTATAAATGGACACAATGGATCTTTCTTCAGCTTTATAAGAGAGGTTTGGCATATCAGGTCAAAACATTCATTGCCTAGTTCATAATTTATAATTGTGCATTTTTGTGTAGAAAAGTTCTCTGAAAGACCTCTTTGTTGCGTATTCAGGCTGAAGTACCCGTCAATTGGTGCCCGGCTCTTGGTACTGTTTTGGCCAATGAGGAAGTGGTGGATGGTGTGAGTGAGCGTGGCGGCCACCCAGTTATAAGAAAGGTAATATCGTTTGCCATCTAGGAATATTATTTCTTTGTTTTCCTTCTCGAAATCCGTATTCCTCTGTTTTGAAAGTTCTCATGAATTTTACAGTGACATTGTTTATTACCAAGCAGCCGATGAGGCAATGGATGCTGAAGATTACTGCGTACGCTGATCGTCTTCTAGAAGATTTGGACGAACTTGAGTGGCCTGAAAGTATAAAGGAAATGCAGAGAAACTGGATAGGAAGATCTGAAGGAGCTGAACTGAACTTTTCAATTCTTGATGGCGAAGGCCGAGAAACTGACAAAAAGATTACAGTTTACACCACGAGGCCAGATACACTTTTTGGAGCAACGTATGATGCTCAATGGATTAATTATATTTTATGATTCAAAATCTGAATTCTTAATCTTGCTTGTCATATATGACCGGTTCTTCATTTTTCAGTTATATGGTTGTGGCACCAGAGCATCATTTGTTGTCTTACTTTGTATCGGCTGAACAGAAACAACAAGTAAGTTCTTTTGTCTATTCTTTCGATTATACATTTTTTCTTTCATGAAATTCATGAGTCCTCCCTTATGTTTGCAGGTTGAGGAATACAAAGATTTTGCTTCAAGGAAAAGTGATCTTGAGAGAACAGAACTTCAGAAGGAAAAAACTGGCGTATTTACTGGATGTTATGCAAAAAATCCAGCTAATGGGGACGCTATTCCCATATGGGTGGCTGATTATGTTCTAGCAAGGTAAGTTCTGTCTAACAATATACATTGCTTAGAATTGCATTTGTGTGAAGCAGAGAACTTTATCATATGTGACAGTTATGGAACCGGAGCAATCATGGCCGTCCCAGCTCATGACACTCGAGATAATGAGTTTGCGTTGAAGTATAACATTCCGATCAAATGGGTAGTGACAAATGAGGCGGATTCATGTGATGATGCTAAGCAGGTTTTTCCCGGGTTAGGCATAATTGAAAATTCATCAAGTTTAGAAACAGGTCTTGACATAAATCAACTATCTAGCAAAGAAGCTGCTTTAAAAGTTATTGAATGGGCCGAGGGAACCGGCAATGGAAAGAAAAAGGTTCATCTTCATGTCTTTCTCAGTTGGATTATCTTAAACTTGTGTTCTCGTTTCTTACTCAAAAGATTTTTGGCAGGTAAATTACAAATTGAGGGATTGGCTATTTGCACGGCAACGTTACTGGGGTGAACCTATCCCGATCTTGATTTTGGATGAATGTGGTGAAACTATTGCGGTTTCAGAATCTGAACTGCCACTCACTTTACCTGAGTTGAATGATTTTACTCCCACTGGAACAGGGGAACCACCACTGTCGAAAGCAGTTTCATGGGTATGTTTTGCAATTAATATCATTACTTTCTGGATACTTAAAATGGTGATGGACATTTTGGTTATGATCGATGACTTTGTAGGTGAACACCGTAGATCCTACAACAGGAAAACCTGCCAAAAGAGAAACAAGCACTATGCCACAATGGGCTGGGTCTTGCTGGTAAATGTTTATTATAAGCTCTTTTCGTTCTCGATTCTTCTTTATAATCTCCTCATTATGAAAATGGTATCTCCCGATTGAGAATCTTGATACTCTCTACTAGTGATGGTTCTCGGATATGCTAGGCTGAAGTTGGTCAATCTAGTACCTTGTTTAATATATTACCCAGTGTGTGTTGGTGAAGAATGTCAAGTTTATACTGAGAAACTAAACAAAATTACCTGATTTTCCACTAGTGTTGATTCATGATAGTCTCTTATCTCCAGGTACTATCTAAGATTCATGGACCCAATAAACACTGAAGCACTAGTTGACAAGGAAAAAGAAAAGTGAGAGTCGTTAACAAAATACAATCAATTTATCTTCCAATGAAGTAAAATTTTGTTGCTTTTGGGCAGATTCTTTAAAGTGTTTTTCTTGTGGCAGATACTGGAACCAAGTAGATGTATATGTCGGTGGAGCTGAACATGCTGTTTTGCACTTACTATACTCTAGGTTTTGGCACAAGGTCTGTGTCCTTTGAAACCTCCTTTTCTTTAAGCTATCTCGTGATCTAACCACAAATTCTGTTACTGTGTTATCATAGGTACTTTATGACATTGGTGTTGTGTCGACGAAAGAACCCTTCAAGTGTGTTATAAACCAAGGCATCATCCTCGGGGAAGTAAGTCCTTTTTACCTGTCTTCTTAAAATTTTCCAGATTGCTCTATTTCTCATAGTTTTAGGATGCAGGTCCAGTATACAGCTTGGAAGGACCAAGAAGGGAATTATGTATCTGCAGACATTGAAGAACGGTTAAATGAATATCAACAAGTGGCAATCCCAGATGAAAAAGTATGAATCGTTTTTCTCATTCACTAACTAAAACTGATTTGACTCTGCTGTGTTTTACCCATCTGTTTGAATGATCGATAATTGTATAGGTTATGAAGTCTGGAGATCATTTTGTTCTGAAGGAGGATCCTAGCATTCGTCTCATTCCACGCGCTTATAAAATGAGCAAAAGTAGAGGAAATGTCGTAAATCCTGATGATGTTGTGTTAGAATATGGTGCAGATTCTCTGCGTTTGTATGAGATGTTCATGGGACCATTTAGGTAAAATTTTATCCCAAATTTCGTTTCTCCGTTTTAATCAGTCTCTGTGTTTATGCTGCTGCATTTCCTTCTACTAGGGACTCAAAAACCTGGAACACAAGTGGGATCGAAGGCGTGCATCGGTTTTTGGCAAGAACATGGAGATTAGTCATCGGTTTGCCTCAGTCTGATGGTTCTTTCAAAGATGGAACCGTAGTGACTGATGATGAACCGACCCTTGAACAACTCCGTTCTCTTCATAAATGCATAGCTAAGGTCAGCTCAGCCCTGATATGATCCCTTTGCGGTTGATTACTCCCTACTTAAGATACATGTGCAAAATTTACAGGTGACAGAGGAAATTGAGAGCACAAGATTCAACACAGGCATTTCAGGGATGATGGAGTTTGTTAACGCCGCGTATAAGGTTAATCTTAGACTCTTTTACCGGTCAGCTTCATCTTTTCGCTTCCAAGTACTGATATTTGCTCTTTGTTTGCTCTCATGTTAACAGTGGAATAATCAACCTAGGGGAATCATTGAGCCTTTTGTTCTTTTGCTCTCACCTTACGCGCCTCACATGGCTGAAGAGCTTTGGTCACGGTTAGGCCATCAGAATTCTCTGGCTTACCAAAGCTTCCCTAAGGTACACAGCCAGTAACTGAACATATAAACACAACAGAGGAAAGTGGTTTGCGGTATTGACTGTTTTGGTCGTCATGCAGGCAAACCCGGATTACTTAAAAGACACAACTATTGTTCTTCCGGTTCAGATTAACGGAAAAACAAGAGGGACCATAGAGGTTGAAGAAGGATGTTCTGAAGATGATGCTTTTATTCTAGCTACACAGGACAAGAAACTCGAGAAATATCTAGACGGACAATCAATCAAGAAGAGAATCTATGTACCCGGGAAGATCCTCAATGTTATCCTAGACCGGATTAATGTCAAGGTCACTACAAAGTAGGGTGTCATTTAAACCTGTCAAATGGATAAAATTTCACATTGTGTTAACTCAAAATCTCCATTGAAGAGTTTCAGATATATTGAAACAATAAAATATTTCATTGGTTCTGGAGAACATCAGAAGCAATAACGGTATTTCCTTCTTTCCACCCTCCTTGCCGAGCTCGAAGCTCCCACATGTAAGACAGTCTTCTCTGTTCATCTAGAGTTGCCTCTGATTTCTCCCTTGCTTGCTCACAAGTCTCCATTCCCATGCTGCACTTATCAGCCTCTTTCTGATACTGAGACGCCGCTTTCTTAGCATCTAACAGCAATCTATCTGCGCGCCATTCGTCTTCTTGAGCTTGTGCTTCTCTTAGCTTCAGCTCTTCAGCGACCATTTCTGTGAAACTGCTCTCGTTCTCTTCACTTGCGTCCTCGTGTCTCATACAATCTTGACAATGAGAGAAGAACCAATAAAAAACTCGTGAGTTTGCAACATTTTACCATTTTTACCAACTATTTGAAAAGGTATGGCCAAAAAACACTCACCCAAAAAACTGTGATTGCTCAATCCTGAAGAAGAAACAATAAATTAAACGCATTACATCGGGTTTTCTGTGACCATCAAAGAAGAAAGGAAGGAGATGATGATGATGATTACCATCGGGGATGGAGAGCAGAGGCTGAGAAGAACAGTCACAGAGACAAGGAGGGCAAGAGGAGTGGATAGAGTCTGCAATGGTCTCGTTGAGATGCCAATACAGAGACGGTCCAGCGATATAGGCAACGATGCACAGCCCCATTACCCCTGTAACCACCTTGGCCGTCTTCTTCTGCCGTCTGCTCATCTCTCTGTTTCTATCTCTCTGCAAATCAAATGTTTCTTCTTCTTTTTTGTTTAAATCTGATAAGATTCTTCAGTAACTGATCTCCTTGAAATCTCCCCCAAGTAATGGATCCTCCATAACTTTTCGCATCATTGGATTCTATTTTTAGCAATGCTATGCAATTATAATTACTCTTATGTGATTTATGTCATATAAACGTGAGACACTTGAGCCATCTTTACATCATTGGATTGATCATATAGATTTTCTGAATCAAACTGCGTCATTTCCCTGCTAAGAAGTTTCAGCACAGACATTGTTTCATCTGAATGTGAAGTATGGTTCATAAAGAACGTAGTGATTCTCCCGTTCATCTCGATCTTGCTCCATCCCGGGAGCTTTTTCAGGCCGAGAGACCTCATTTGATTCCACGATTCACTCACATCGTCCCATCTCTTCATCGCGGCAAAAGAATGTGCAAGCCTAATGTAATGGCCAGCATCTACTGGCTTCAACTCGATGATATCCTGACAAATTATATATTCGACCTCTGTTTTCCCATTTGCACGGCAAGCATCGAGTATAATACCCAAAACATCCATCGATGGTTTTGTAAAGTTCTCTTTGTAGAAGTTAAACGCTTCTTCTACTCTTTTAGCTCGGCATAGAAGATCAACCACACAAGCTAGGTGTTCGTGATTGGGTTCAACACCAAAATATCTAACCATTGAGTTGAATATCTCCAAACCATGCTGGACCATTCCATTATGGCTGCAAGATGAGAGAACTGCAAGGAAAATCACGTGGTTCGGCTCCATTCCAGAGCGAAGAAACTCTGAGTAAATTTTCAAAGCAATATCCCCTTTACCATGGAAACCATATCCTGCAATGAGTGTGCCCCATGAAACAAAATCTTTCTGCAAGATTGAGTCGAAACACCTCTGCGCAGCTTCTAAGTAGCCACATTTCAAGTACATATCAACCAGAGCTGTATCAACCAAGGTGCATGGCCTGATATAACTTCTAATTACTATACAGTGGATCAGTCTCCCAGCCTGGAGAGCTCCAGCGGATGAACAGGCTTGTAAAAGAGAGACAACAGTCAATGAATCAAGCCGTTGCATGGTTTTAAACTTCATTTCTTCAAACAATAACAAGGCCTTGCACAGATCTCCGTTTTGGGCATGTCCAGAGATAATTGCATTCCACGAAACTAAGTCTTTTTCAGTCATCCGTTCAAAAAGAACTAAACTTTTGTCCAAAAAGCCGCACTTTGCATACATTGTGATAAGAGAGTTTAATGCAGGAGTGTCTAGTTTATAACCTTGCCTCAGTACATAACCATGGACTGAAGCGCCGAGATGGAAGGAACCCAGTTGAGCACAACATGCTACAATACTAGCTATTGCTTCACTCGATAGGTCTGAACCTGAATGTAACATTTCCGAGAAAACAGTCAGCGCTTTTTCCGCTCTACCCAACCGCACAAGTCCTGATATCATGACATTCCAGCAAACAACATCCTTACTGGGCATGGTTTCGAGAACTCGAAATGCAGCTTTCTCCTCTCCACACTTTAGATACATCATTATCAGAGCCGTCCTGAGATGCATGTCCATATCGAAACCAGTTTTCACGATTTGGCAGTGTAGCATTCTTCCCATTTCAAGATCACACATTGTTCCACTGACCGAAAGCGACGCTCCAAATGTCTGCTGGTCAGGTCTTAAACCATCATCTCTCATTCTGTACAAAAGCTTTAAGATTTCAGTCATATTACCAACCAAAGCAAATCCAGAAATCATTGTGTTCCATGAAACCATATCTCGTTTCTCCATCTGATCAAATAACTCCTTACCATCTCTAACACTATCGCACTTGCAGTATAAATTCAACATCGAATTCTTCGCAGCTATATCACATTCGAACCCATGAATCACCGCAAAGGCATGTAAACACTGTACCTGCGTAATCTCTGAAACCCCACTCAGCATTTCCAACAACGTAACCGTACAAGGTCCAATCCCCTGATATCTCATATCGCCCACCAAAGAAAACGCTTCTCCAACGATCCCGGCGCGTGAGTAACAACCGATCATTGCATTCCAGTGGACTACATCTCTCTCACGCATTTCGTCGAACACTTTACGAGCATTATCCAAAATCCCGAATTTAGCGTAGAGATTGACCAGGGAAGACGAAGTGTAGGAATCAGAAGAGAACCCATTGACGAGAACCTGTTGGTGAATCGAGAGACCAAAAGAGAGGAGCTGAAGTGAAGCGCAGGCTTTGAGAAGACTAGGGAAAGTGGAAGTGGCAGGTAAGATTCTACAAGAGAGCATTGAAGAGAATGTGGAGAGAACTTGGCGGTGGTCTCCATGAGATGATAAATTGTTAATGAGAAAGTTAAAGGCTTTGACGGAGCTAAGCATAGAAGAAGATCTGATGATCATAGCTCCATTGGTTTCAAGCACGATTATAAACGACTCGATTTCAAATCTTACACTTGCAAATTTCTAAAGAAGCTGCAAAATAACGATTTAACAGACTTAGAAACCAAACCAAAAATCATTTTGGTATTACTATGTTGGTGAATGATATACCGAAAACCGAACCAAACCATTTTTGTTCCAAGCCAAGAAAGAGTGAAAGATATAGTATACCATCTTTTCACGTTTTCGCTTGCGTTTTTTTTTCGTTTTTTTTTGTTGAGTCGAATGTAAAATTTATTTAAACCTAAGGAATGTTTTTATAATATATGTGATTTTTATCGAGTTTTTTTTTTAAAAACATTTGATTAGAAAAAAAGCAAAAAAAGAAATTAATTAAATCGTGAGAATCATTCATGATAAGCTGAACTATTGCATCCCATACGACTGTATGTATAATTGGAGTTCAATAGGCTTCGGGTGAATATGAACTAGATTTTTTCTGTGATCCCACATTAGAAGAAGAGATGGTTCCGTGTATCGAGAGAGTCGTGACAGAAGAAACATGAGCTCCACCATTCCATCTCCTGTAGATAATCGATTATGCATAACTAACTATAAAAGCAAAGAGATTACTTGCGTTTCCACTTCTTACTTTTTATTATTTTAAATAATTATCAATATTAAAAAATTTAATCTGTTTAATTTTGTCTGTCTAAAATACTCATTAATTATTTAGGTGACTACTGTAGAAAAAGATAACATATAGTAAAAGACTCGTTATTTCGAGTTTCTTCTTTTTTACACCAATCAAGTAAACTGTATAATATTTAGTGTCCAAAAGTTTCAACCAAGTTTTGCTAAGAAGAAAAATTAGGTAATTTTCTCCTCTAAATAATAAGTATGTAATTCATGGAGAAAAGAACTCCAAATTTTACTTGTTTCCTCTCT